CGCCCTGACCCAGTCGCACCGCTGCTCGGACCCGTGGTGGAGGAGCTTCCTCGCAGAAGCGCGCGCGGGGAGTCTGTCGGACAGGATGTACGATTTCGCCCACGGCTTCCCCACTGACGTGCCCGGGTCCTGGATGCCCGCAAGCCCCGGCAGCGCCGAGGCCTCGACGGGGCACCTCGGCTGCGGGAAAGCGAAGTGCCGCGCGCTCTGGTCAGCTCAGTGGCCGCGGATGTTCGGAGAGGGCCGGCCCTGGCAGGACATGCGAGCTCTTGGGTGCGCTGACTGCAGCGCGGAGCGCCGTCGGCGCTGCCGCGTCGCATCTCAGAGCGATGCCAGACAGCGGGAGGTGAGCACGGCGTTCGCCGACGCGCTGTTCGCGCGCCCGCACAACGCACCGAAGAGCAGAATTTTGACTCTGCGAGCGGCGAATGCGGCAGCTAATGCTGCAGGGAAGCAGCTCCTCTGGGTGGTGGCGCGCGACGTCCCCCTCACTCGGGGCGACGCATGCAGGTCGAAGGAGTCCCTTGCCAACGCCAGGCAGAACTGGCTGATGTACCCGGAAAACAAGACTGGCGGAGTTCCGGGCGTGCTTCCGATCTTCGAAGGGATGCGCGCGCGCTTCGCGACCACGGGGACTGCGGAGGCGGGGGCGTGCAAGCATTCCTGGGGGACAGTGACTGGCTGGGTTCTCCACCCCGACGACTCGAAGCTAGTGAAAGAGCAGAGGTCGGAGCCGGAGCTGGTCCTGCAGCACGTGCCCGATGCGATCGTGGTGAGAAGTCCAGGAAGCACGGCCCCCCGCTTCGGCAATCAGCCTGCTGGCGTCGCCCCGGTGAAGCTGAAAGAAGTGTCCTGGGATCGCAGTCCTGGCTTCAAGGCCATGGTGAAGCGCGCGGGTTCCCCGCTCGCCCCGCACTTCGCTGCCGCGGCCCACTGCGTCACGGGCCCCACTCTTCCGCAGGCCATCATCGACCTCCTGGACGCGCGGACGACGCCCCGTTCTTCCATGGTCCCCACTGGTGGCCATCAGCCGTGCCAGGAGAGCGGGCGACCTGATCATCGCCCAGGCTTTTTCCCCCGTGCTGTTCCGCCAGGGGCATCAGACGGGCCCGTGGCTCCTGCACTCCCTTACAGCTGGGGGGGTGACGACGGAACCAGCGAAAGCCGGTTGGGCAAAGGCAGAGAAGGAAGCGGCGTCCAGGTCATCGAAGAAGTTGGTGGGCGCCGCGTTCCAGCGCGCCGACTGCCACCAGCGAAAGAGACCGGGCAATTTCCCAGACAGCGGCATGAGAACGAGCGACCCCTTGGAGCACGCCGTGGCGGTGCTGAGCCAGGGCGCGTGGAGGAGGTGCGCCCTCTGCGTTCAGAAGCGGACCTCCGCTTCGGGCGCGCCTGCCGCGGCTGCAGCGCCATTCGCCGCGAAAGGCAGAGACGCGCTCGTCTACAATCGCTGCAAGGAGCCCAAACAATTGACAAATTTCCGACGCAGCGAGGTGGATTACTTGAAAGGCAGAGGGGCGCTGGACCTCGCCGTTTGCGTGGCGCGCACCCCGGAGAGGCAGCATTTCAACGCGTTGTCGGCGGCCCGCCCCTTCAAGCGTCGCATCTGCAAGCGGGGCGTGCCCGCGGAGCAGTGCGATGCAGCCTTTTTTAAGATGCACAAGGGCGTCAAAGACGCCGCGTGCGCAGCGTGTCTGGACGAAAATGGAAGCCCCATTTGCAAGGGAGGCTGCGGAGGGAACGCTTGACGTACAGCGCCGGTTTCTGGTGCGACTCGCGCAAATTTCCGCCGTGCACGACTTGTGGCTCGGCTCCGCGGCCGAAGACAGCCAAGTGCAGAGTCTGGGACATGAAGGAGTGGACCTGCGCTCCGTGCTGGGAGCAGGGGCCGCTGCATTGCGCGCGCTGTTTTGAGCGCATCCCGCGAGGCACAGTGCCATCCCGCAATCGCGGTAGCGCAGGCCTTCAGTGCCCCGCCTGCAAGAAGCCATAGTGCGCACTCGGGCGGCTGGCGTTTCTTGTCGCCCGCGACCTCTGGAATATCATGTGCTCCGTATCGCTCTGAACGCCTTTCTCGCCCTTTCCTGTGCCTCGCTTTGAATCGGCGAATTCGCGGTGTGCTGCGCCTGCGCTGTCCGCGGCATCCATGCGCCCCCGCTGCCGGGCCGATGTCCTTAACATGACGGAATGCGCGCGAGCCCCCGACGATCGTGCCCCCGAAAAGAGCACGAGAATACGATGCGTGCAAGTTGGGCGTTGGCCTGTTTGCCCTGCTCGTGAGAGCACGCGCATCGAATGCGGTCGTTGCGGGGCGCACAGGAAGCTTACAGGAGCCCTCTAGGAGGCTTCTTATAGCCTCGTCGGGGTACTTGGCTTTGCAGGCGTTTCGTGGAATTGCGTTCTCAAAGCATATTTTGAGAAACTCTTGTGCAGTCCGGAGGACGTACAGTCACGTCGTCGCAGGGCCTCTTGGGATCCTGTTGGGGGCCCCCTGGGGACCTCTTGTGAGCTTCTTTGGGTTTCTTTTGGACTTTTTGGGGGCCTCTCCCCCCTCCCTCCTTTTCATAGTGCCTCTCCATCATCCCTTACAGCGCCGGCTCTAATAATGGGCGCCGCTGTGACCAACTTCCACATGGCTGGCGCTGCGCCGCAGTTCGCCCAGGGGGAACATAGTTTTGCGCTCCAGTCGTTGTGTGGCCTTTTGGGGGCTTCTTTGGGGCCTCTTGGAGGCTTCTCGGGGACTTCTTGGGGCTTCTTGGGGCTTCTTGGGGCCCCTTGGGGGCGTCTTGGAGGTCTCTTGGGGCCTCTTGGGGGCGTCTTGGGCCGTCTTGGGACGCTTTTTCGCCGTATCGCCCCTTCGGAGGCCATCTTGGAGGCCTCTCGCGGCCGCCTCGGGGCTCTCTTGGAGGCTCCTTGGGCCGTCTTGGGGGCCCCTTGGACTGTTTTGGGGGCCTCTTTTGGCCGTCTCGGGGCCCTTTTCGGCCGTTTTGGGGCCACCGTGGGGGCCTCTTGGGCCGTTTGTGTATCTTCTTGGAGGCTGCGTGGGCCGTCATGGTCCTCCGAGAGCCGAAAAAAGCGAGAACTTTAAAATCTTTGAAAAACCTATAGGACATCAGCAATTTTTGGACTGTGGAGGCGCTCTTTGGTGTCCTCTTGGGGCCCTCTTGGACCGTCTTCGGGGCCTCATGGGCCCCCTTGGGACAATCTTGGGCCGTTTCGGAGCCGCCTTGGGGCCATCTTGGGCCATCTTGAGGCCCTCTTGGAGCCCCAAGAAGCCCAAGAGGCCGAATTTGCTGATTTTCGATCGGTTTTTGTATGTTTGGAACCCCGGAAGGGGGGGCGACCATCTTGGTATGGCGGTGTGGCGCGGCTCCCAGGGGGTTAGGGGGGGGGGGCATAATAATGTAACACAATACAACACGTGGCAATTATGCAACACTTGGACACATTTGGTACGTTGCATTATGCATCCGCAGAAAACGCTGCCGCTCAGCACGTCGCTTCCGGACGTGGACTCTTAGGCTTACGCCACACCGCCGACCCCTTGGGGGACTGTTGGTTGCTGCGTGTTGCTCCTGAGGGCCTCTTGGGCGAATGTTGGGGGCGTCTTGGAGCTTTTTTGATGATTATCGAATGGCCTTCGGCACATCCCGCCACTGTGCCTGGGCTGCGGGTGCGAAGCCACTCGGATGGCAGATGGGGTCTCATGGGTGGCGTCTCGGGGGCGGTTGGGAGGCAGTTTTTTGAACCTCTTGGGTGCCTCCTGGTGGCCTTTTGGGAGCTTTTTTGGGGGCCTCTTGGAGCTCCCTGGGGGCCTGTCGGGGGCTTCTTGGGGCAACCAGGGAGCGTTTTGGGGTCGAACGATGACAATGTCCCTTCCAGTTCCCCCTCTGTGCCCCTTCTTGGGGCTGTCTTGGGGCCCCCTTGGGTAGTCTTGGTGGCTTCTGGAGCGGTCTTGGGGCCCTCTTGGGTCGTCTGGGAACCCGTCGTGGAGGCCTCTTGGGCCGCCTTGAGGCGATCTAGAAAGCTTCTTTGGCCGTCTTGGACGTTGTAAACGGACAAGAGGCGAACGTGCTAGAAATGCACGTCTTCCCAAGGGAGGGCGACGATCTTTGCTCTTTGAGGCAGACGCCTTTGGGGGGCTTCTTAGGGCGTCTTGGGGGGCTTCTCGGGCCGTCTGGAGGCCAGCGTGAGCGTTTTGGATTGATCTGTCGGCGGCTCGTGGCCTTCTTGGACCGTCTGAAGGGCCTCTTGGAGCCCTCTTGGCTTGTTTTGGGGCCCTCTGTATACTACTAGGCGCATGCCAGCAGTCCAGGGGGGACCCCCCCCTCCAAATCGACCAGACTGGGCTCCCAGAGGAGGGGTTTCGGGAGGGGGAAGCATTTCACACGCCGATGAACCCCAAGGGATCGGCTGATTTTCCACATGTCAATCCAGCAACGTATATGTTCAGTTTCCTGGTACATTATTGGCAAGACTTGTGGACACCTGGTGCGGAATAGTCAAGACATGTAGATCGCAAAAAGCCGTTGTCACTAGCGTCCAGAAAGTGCATCTAATGTGACATCGGCCTGCCAGCTATTGTCCTACGGAAATATGTTATCCCCCGATGATCCTAGGAACCCACAGAAGCTCTGGGGCACCGGACGACCCTCAATGATCGACGAACAATGCGCCCAAGCATTTTACGCAGCATACTGTATTTTCTTGTGTGCCACGTGTAAGTAGTTGGCGGCGCGGCTCCCCCAGCCACGTCGCCCTGGGTGGAGGGTTTCTCCGAAGGGTTTAGGCGACCCGTCCTCCTCCTCCTCTCCTCCTCCTCCTCCTCCTCCTCCTCCTCCCTCCTCCTCCTCCTCCTCCTTCTCCTCCTCTTCCTCCATCTCCTCCTCCCCCTCCCCCTCCTCCGCCTCCTCCTCCTCGGGTCGCCTGCGGCCTCGGGGGAGACCGTGCACTGCGCCCCCAAGATGTCTGGACTGTAGCGCCAGCCCCTCCCTGGACAGGTGCGCGCGCCCGACTCCGCGGGGGGCGCGGCGGCCTTCGGCGGCACCTTCTGGAGGACGCACGACTTCAACGAGGCCTCCTCCTCCTCTGCCTTCTCGGCCTCCTCCTCCTCCTCCTCCGCCTCTTTCTCCTCCTCCTCCTCCTCCTCCTCCTCCTCCTACTCCTCCACCTCTTTCTCCTTCTCCTCCTCCTCATCATCGTCATCATCATCATCAGCATCATCATCACCATCATCATCCGTAGCCATTTCGCCCGGATGCGGTCGATCATCATCCGTAGCCATTTGGGCTCAAGATGATGCGATCAGGGCAGATGTCTGGTCCCATGTGGCCGTCGCGTCATTTCTTGGATCAGATTCCAAATCTACCAAGCTTTCAGAGAGGGCCTTCGCGGCCACAGTTCTTTCATATCCATTTTTCCTCCCCAACACCCGGCCCCAGTCGCCCGATTGGGAACCCAGCATCGGCTGGCTCGACCAATGGCAGGACGTGGTGGCGGTGCTCGGGGAGCCGCGCGTGGCGGCGGCGGCAAAGGCGGCAGAGGCTGACGAGGAGGTAGCCAGCCGGGCGGAGCGGGGGGCAGCGGCAGCGGTGGAGGCAGCCAGCCCAAAGCCTGGGATTGTCCCAAGTGTGGTGCCAAGAGAAACTGGAGCACCAGGCACGTCTGCCGCAGCTGCGGATTTGATTGGTGGGGGCAAGGATCCGGCGCGAGCTCGTGGTGGAGTGGCATGTCTCATCTGGACGCCAAGGAACGACACGAGCTCAACCAGTTGCGGCGGAAGGTCAAACATCTCGAAGGAGATTCTCTCGCAGCTTCAGGAAATGCTGGAGGCGCAGCAGCTGCAGCCCAGTCCGCCCCGAAGGACGAGAGGGTACGGCGCCTTGGGAAGCAACGGAATGAAATCAGAAAGCTCGAAGGAGCTGTTGGCACGGATGAAGGCAGGAGGCGCAGCAGCTGGAACACGAGCTCGCCGAGGAGAAGCCCACGTCCGCGCAGCCTGGCGAGCTCGAGCGCAAGCAGCGGAACCAGCAGAGCTCCTCGGAGGCGCTGGCCAAGAAGATCGAGGACACCACGCGGGAGATCACGGGCCTCGAACACGAGCAGAGCAAGGCTGCGGAGAAGGAGCTCCGGGCGCTCATCGACACCCTCTTGGCCAAGCACAGACGTGAGCGTGAAGGTTCACTCGGAGAAGGAGCGCCGGGGGTGGGCGCCACTGCAGCAGCACCTCGGCCCCCAACTGCCTTGCTCAGCGAGGGCGAACGCGTTAAAGCCTTCTTGGAAGCTTTGGACCAGGCTTCTGGTATGCTCAACACAGGGCACGCGCAGCAATGTGAACAACAAGTCTCCCAGCTTCGTCGACTGGCACACCGCGTGGCATCTGCAGGTGCGGCAGCAGAACGCGACAGCGGCGACGAAGAACTCGAGGAGGCTGACCTCAGCACCATCCTGGGCAGCATGGAGGAGGAGGTCGAGGTCCCCGCGGAGGAGGGCAGCGCGGCAGCAGGCGCTGGCAGCGGCAACGCAGGGGCTCGACGCGGGGGCCCAGCAGCCCAGGCAGCCCAGAGGCGCAGGCTGCGCGCGCAGAAGCTCCTCAAGAGCTTCGCCTTGGCGTGGCTCAAGCGGAAGGGGAAGCGTGGGTAGCAAGCCCATATTCACGGTGGCCAGCCTCAACGGCAGCGGTTGGGGCCCCTTTTACGACCATCCTCGGAGAGCAGCAGGGCCCGCAGCAGCAGGTGGTCGCCGACGCGCGCATGGGCGAGGCGATCTGCTTTCAGGAGCACCACCTCAACGGCTAAGGAGTTCCCGGGCAAGAGCAGTGGTGCAGGCAGGTCGGCTGGGGCGCGGTGCTGACCCCAGGCGTGAGTTCCATGGGGGCATCGCAGCCGCGCGCGGTGAGCGGCGGTACTGGGGTCGCACTTCGATGTGTCCGCGGTGCGCGCGGCCCAGGCGTTCAGGGTTGCAGGGGGGGCTGCCGCGCCTCTGACGGCAGGGCCACGGTGGCCCATGCCAATTGAGCGGTACCTAGTGGGTTTCTGCTGGGCTCCGTATACCTGGACAACGACGACGTCGGCGAGACCAGCCAGTCTGTGCTGCAGGAAGTCGGCCCCCCCCCCAAGCGCACGGGGAAACCGTGGGTCGTCGCCGGCGACTGGAACGTGGGGCCCGAGCGTTTCTGTCAACGTGCGGGGCGCTGGCTGGGCAAAGTTGGCGGGCGCGTTGTCGGCGCCGGCGCGGGCGCCTGCCAGCGCTTCCCGACCGAGGAGCCTTCGGAGCTCGACTGGTCCATCGCGAGCCCCGATCTGTTCGACCGAGTTCTAGCCTGCAAGCGCCTGGGCATGACCGCGCGGGGGTGCGCCAACCCTTGCCGCCCACGCATGGCAGCGCAGCTCAGCCTTACATGCTACGGCGACATGGGCCAGTCGTTCAGGGTCAAGTGGCCGATGGTTTTCCACAAGGCCCGCCCTTGCGGGCCCACGCTGGAGAAGCGCTGGGACCACAGCTCTGTTCGGGCCCAGATCGACATGAGCGGAACCCTGCAGGACATGGGGGAGGCATGCCAGGGGCTCTGCAAGGGCGTAGAGGAGGAGCTCGCGCGGGCTTTACTTGATCGGCCCCGACGACGCCGACTTCTATCGGAGAGGGGGGGGGGGGGGGGCGCCGCAGTTCGCTTTCGCCCCTCAGGCGAAGGCGCGCCCCATCAAGGGCCCCTAGGCCAGCGTCAAGGGGAAGAAGCTCGTGCGCCTGAGCGACAACTTCGCCCAGGCAGGGCTTCCCACAGGCGGCGCTGGGGCCGGCGGCGGGGGGCAGGCGTCTGAGGGGCGCCCCCGGCTGGGCCCCGAGCGACGCGAGGCCGAGCACATGCAGGCCAGGGCCATCAAGCGCTGCAAGCGCGCGTTGGGGCGTCGAGCGCGCGGCTGGGTCGCCAACCCGATCGACCCCAACTACTGCGAAGACGAGGCCGAGTGGATGGAGATGTGCGTGCCCTACATATTCCGCATGCTAGGCTCGCCGACGCACGTCGCTACGGGCCTGGCGCAGGATTTCGAGAACCGCACGCGCACCGCGAGAGAGGTCTGCTCTTCGGCGTGGCGGCGCGGGGGTCCTGGCAGGCGAGAACTGGCTCGCACCCTTCGGCAGCCCGGCCACCTACATCCCGAAGATGGGGAGGGGGAGTACCACCGAACGGTCGACAACTACTTGAAATCGAAACGGCGGTTGGAGGAGCGCGGCGACTACAGCGGGCTCCCCCTGGCGCCCCCATCACCTTCGATGTTTCGACCCGGCTTCCTACGGATTGGGGGCCGCACTTGGGTGGCGGTCGTATGAGTGGCGACCTTCGGCCGACGCCGCAGCCCCACCTGAGTGGTGACCTACGTCGGGCGCCACAGCCCCCAGTCCTGTGCGCCGCTCTCGAGCGAGCGGCAGCCGTCGGCGACTGGGGCGCCATCGAGGCGGGCGTGCAAGGGGTTCGGAGGACCCTCCAGTACCTCGCTCAAGGCGGGCCCCCGCACTTGCACGCCCCCGACCCTGAGCTCGACAAGGCAGAGTGGATGGAGCTGTGCGCACACTACGCGCTCGCACGCACCAACCAGTACGAGGGCGATGGCACCGCCGACGTGAACGCCGCGGAGGCCCCCAGCGGCGCAGACGCGAAGGCGGCAAAGGGAGCAGCATTTGCTGATGGGGGTCAGCTCGATCCCAGCCGGCCACCTCCAGGCTCCTTTGCCGCGCTGGCGGCAGCAGGTGGGGGATGCCCAGCGGCCACCGGCACGGGGCAGGCAGCATCGGTTTCGTCGGCTTCGACGGCGGCCCCCGCAGCCAGCGGCGGCACTGGCAACGACGGCGCGGCCGGCACCTGCACGGGGCAGTCTTTCATGGACCGCGCAGCGGCACGCTGGGACAGGGCTGCGGAGCTGCGCGAGGAGAGCTGGTCAGGCGCGCAGCCTTTGAGGGGCGAGTGCCACCGCAGCATGGCCGCCCTTGAATCCAGCTCCCCTGGCGCGTGGGCTATCGCGGACGTCGAGCACTAGAGCTACATACAGGCCGCCAAGCACTTCATGCGCTACCACGGCGACCTCCCGTCGGATTCCAGCGACGACGGGGGCGACGACAGCTACGGCGGCGGCAGCGCAGACGGCCGAGAAGCACGCGCAAGCGCATCAGCACCGATGCCCCCGACCATGGAGGGCCTCCCGCTGGGGGCGCATTGGGCGGCGCGCGTTTCCCCGGCCGCCGATTGCCCCGACCCGTTGCCCCTGGCCGAATGGGCTGCCGAGGCCAGGGCTGAGGCAGAGGCGGAGGGCGCCGCCTTTGCCGCCACCCGCGGTCAGGGGTGCAAGGAGTGGATCCGCACTTCCATGGCAGCAGGCGCAGGGGGCCTACACGCCTATCGGCGAGGACCGCGCGGCTGGGCACCTGATGACGAGCTGCGCGGAGCTCCAGCGCACGGCCCCGACCGAGTGAAGATCGCGGCGCAGCAGTGGACCTCCGAGGCCTAGCGGGTTTAGCAGGAAAGCGATCGCTTTCGCCCGCGGCGACTGCCCACCGAAGCAGAGGCACTACCCAGGCCATCGGCCGATCGGGCGCGCCAGGCTGCCAAGACGTTCAGGCGCAGCACTGGGGTTGGCAGCGATCGCCGAAACCCCAGGAAGGCAGCGGACCTCAGCGACGCCCTGCTGGAGGCCATCATCGATTTCGGGATGCGGTGCGAGGAGCTGGGCGGCTGGCCCGACGTCATCACCGACTCTCTCGTGGTGATGTTCCCCAGGCCTCAAGGGGGCTTTCGGCCCATCGGCCTGCTGGGCTGGCTCTCACGCCTTTGGAGTCGCGTCCGCCAGCCAGACGCGCGGCGCTGGGGCTCCCAAATTGACCCAGGCGTCGCGGGCACAGTCTGGGGCGGCCGCGGGCGCGCGGCCGAAGAGGCCGTCTGGTGGCGAGCGCTCCGAGCCGAGGCATCGCAGGCACGGGGCGAGGGAGCTGCAGCATCACTCATCGACCTGTGGAAGGCTTACGAGCTAGTCGACCTGGCGATCACCCAGGACCGCAGCATCATGGCGGGCTACCCGAGAGGGCT